CATATTCAGTACCAGCAAAAATGTTGCATGGAGCTTCTTTTAACAAGACAGTGATTAGTTATAATATAAGTCCTGATTATTAAACTTCTTTTACATTGTATGTTGCAACAGGCATCTTGATATATATATATATATATATATATATATATTAATATTTTTTTTGGAGAATATGAAAGACTATCATAGTGTATTAACGAAAAAATTAGGAGTGATTTTGTCCTCTTTTTTTTCTTTTTCTTTTTTTTTCTTTTTATGGTTGGAATGATATGATTTTTTTTTTAATCATTCTAACAAAATGGCAAGTGAAAAAAATCTACGAAAATATTTATACTATCTAACAAAAATTTGTTGTTTTAATTAAATTCAATCAATATATCATTTAAATTTCAATAAATATAAACTAATGCCAAGTTGCCAACCAATAAATGATAGTTACATGGAGAATTAATTTTTCCCGTATGGACGTGAAGATTGATCATTTGAACTCCAAACCAATTAAATAAATATATTGATTCTTTACAACTACTATTTGCTTGACGCCACGAATAAAAATATCCAACAGCCATCGATGATTATGGATCTTTACAACGAATAACGAGTGTGTAGTGACCCACCATCCGCATCAATCAATCAGTAACAAGAAAAATGTTGCGTATCTCTGAGATAATAGCTTACTTATTCATCCACGAACCGATGCTCTTGACTCTTGAACAGCGATGAGTTATAATTATTAAGGTGAAATTTTAAAGGAGTTTGATCAGCTAATTCCTCGACCTTGCTTTGTGTGTTAGATTTGATTTATCCAAGCCAATTCCATATATAGGAAAAGAAAATGATAAGGAAAAATGGTTTGCTTAACCATATCCAAATCTACGTGTAGTCTTGTAATGCCGCCAAAAGCACGGAAATGGGAAATTTTGAGGTCCCAGGACTTATAGTGACTCAAATTTGCTTTGTTGGATGGATAGGCAATGTAGCCACTTGGATTGAGTGGTGTGGACTATTTCTTTTTGTCTGAGAGTGAAAACATAAGCCGTGTAATGCATATTGCTTACTAGAACTTGTTGAGTAGACGAAAGAATCTGGTTCCATTCTTGTCGGCTATTTTGGTTTGGCATGTGAATCAACATGTGCATGAAATGAGGCATCGAATGGGAACAATAGAATCTGACTCGTTTTCATCAATTGGCACTGTCTTTCCTTATCTACCTATCTCACAAAGTAACGTTTTCTTCTACGCACCACTTTTTCAAGTCACAATTTGCAACCACCAGCGGCTATTTATAATACGCACGTTATGCATGAGTAATACATCTAGCGCTTAAACATTATTTGCTTGATCAATACGTTTATCGGTAGGATTCAGGTATGAGTGGTCCAAAACCGCGAGTTTAATATCTTCATTAAAAAGGGCAAGCAAACTCTCAATTTACTTCCCAAGTTTGGGACAACAACCTGAACATTTGGAGAAATATTTACACCAAAGTTTCACCAAATTCTTGTTAGTCCAACCAAACACTCAACTCATTTCATTAAGTATTGGTCCAATATAAGCATAACTGGAATGCAAAATCAATTACATTTCTAAATACTATTAATTAACATTTGAGAAATATTCCTTCTACGAGAAGGGAGAATGCAATATTTCATTTTTGAAATCAATGAATAAAGAATCACCTAAGTGTCTAATGTCCTACAAAGCATGTGCCCTCGCCCTATACAATTTTCCCTCATCAATAAATAATGAATCATCTTATATTCATTTGAGGCTAATTACGCTATTAGTTCCAAAAGTAACAATCGAGCAGGGAACCAGAGCAAGACTAACAAATGCATATGTTGGGATGTAACAAGCCTACTGAACCTTTTCAAGGACTTTCTCCCTGTTCGTATCATGCCAGAAAAGGCTGACTGGCGTTGACCCACATTGACTGATATCATGGACATCCCAGAAAGAATGCCGGCATCAATTCCACGTGGCAACACAAGAGGCCACCAAACCTTGCGCTGTTGCTGTTGCTCTCTCTTAGCTTTACGGATCTGTTTAAGTTCTTGGCGAATCACAGTTCTCACAGACATTAAGTAGGAATTCATGTCATGATCTCTTTGTATACTTCCTCCAGATCCATAAGCAGACCGGTCACTCAATATCTCAAGTGGATGAGGTGAGTTCAAGAAGACCATTTGAGCAGCTCGAAGCTGCTTTTCTGTGTAATCGGATTTTGACAAAGGACAACACAAAATATATAGACCACTGCCTGATGGCAGGAGATGATGGTTTGGTGAAAATTTCTCATCTGGCTGAAGAATCAGCAGATATCCCATTGGTGCATATAGTAGCTTCTGCAGTAAAACAATTCGCAAAGAAATCATTCAGATTTATGTGAAAGGAATTTCTTTATCTGCTTCAAAACTTGATAACCAGGACATTAGACATTACCTGTTTATTGAGGCAAGGATGACTACGGAAGTTCCCATTGACAGCCTTTAATAGTTTTGCAACATGGTTAGGGTAATTGCAAGAAAATGCTCGTGGTACTATGTCTCTGTGCATTGTAATTGCTTGAACATGACTCCTAGGCAAACCTAACTTTTCTAGCAGACTATCACCACCACACATGATGGATGGGGAACCAAATGTTATAACAGGAAGTAGAGATGAGACTGGCACTTCATTCCTTATCAACAGCATGAGATTCACAAGTAATGCCAAGCTTCCACCAAGAGAATGCCCGGTGAAGCGAAAAGTTGCACGAGAACCCCGAGATTTTAGGTGAGCATGTACTTCTGGCAACATCTGTTGATATATCCCTTTAGCAGCCTCGTATATACCTCTGTGCACAAGGACATCCAACCCCTGGGAAAAAAAAAATGTAAAATCATTATCTCAATTTCATGATAGATGGTTAGACACGCATTAAGAAAGGTTCAAACTTATTTACTTAACGGTAAAATGAATGACATATGAAAACTACTTTACTCTGCAATATTGACTTTACCTCAAATTTAATCGGCTCAAAAAGTAGGTTTGCTTGCCAGGAAGCAAATGTCTCAGAACCCTACAGGTTTATTGAAAATAAACTAGTGAGAAATTGCACTCCAGAAAATATACATCCAAAATTGGCAGTGAATTGCTGATACTCTAAAATATCATCAGCTATATAACACAAACAAATATTGGGAACCACATTAATAATGATTTTATCATATCTAAGCTCTCACAAATTACATCAAAGCCTCTATTAATTTTCCCTACCTGAATAGCAAATAATCTGGTACCACTCTGGTCATCATCACAGACGAACCATTCACAGGGTGATGAATGTACAGAGTTTAGATCATCTGCAACAGCCTGCTTTACTTCTTCCTTTGCTGCAACCACTGCTGTCACTGAATCAGTAGTTGCCATCAAAGAGACCACCTCTGTGTTTATCATGTCACGGCTTTCAATGATTCCTTCAAGTGAGCCTTCACCAGTCACGGCATTTGAGGATTTGAATGGAAATATGCTCCTGGTCCGACCAAGCAGATAAGAGGCAGCAGAGGTGGCAATATTACAAGCAGCATCTGCTCTTAACATGTATCCACCATTCTCCGGATCCTTTCTTTCTTCTTTTTTCTTCTCTTTAGTCTCAACATTCTGGGAATCCTTTTCCTTCTCATTAGTCTCAACTTTCTGGGGATCTTTTTCAGCTGTTGCTGCCAACTCCTTCTTCTCTATTGATGAAGTTACAAAACGTATACCATAATGTTTTAAGAGTTTCCCAGGCTAAAATATCAAAGCCAAAATATAAATTAGTGTGCTATATGCATTTTGTGGAAAATCAAATTCCTACAATTATCAACCAATTTCAGAACACGTCATTTTAATAAAAAACCAATAACAGAGCCTTACAAGAATACAATCTAGTTATACAACGCAATTGAACCTCACATAAATGGTAAAAAAAACAGAGCCCCTACATATTCTCCTTCCAGAACTACACACCCACCATCAATCAGATCACATAAAGATGAGTATTCCATAGCTGTTATAAATGACACTCGCTAATGAGTTTCATCTTAGTTAAATTAGAAAACTCCGACACAAGTGATACCACAAAGAATCTTAAAGCAATCAATGTGAGCTAGATCCAGATCAGATATGTATAAGGTAGATCCGAGGTCTCAAAAATCTACTAATCAGATGTTACAACTTTGCCAGGCCAAGACTCGATCAATCAAAAAGCACAAACAGAAACTAAAAGCAGCATGAAACATACGAAAAGATTAAAAGCAAAATCAAAAACAGAAGAAGACAGAAAGATCACGAATCTCGAGTCTCATACCTTGATGTTAGGTATATCGTAAGCCAAGCTTCCCAAGTGTGACATCTGAGCGTACAATCTAGCTTCAGCTAACGAGACCCGGCGAAGCATTCTGGAAAACGAGTCTCTATCGAATTGAGGCTCTTCTTCGTCACCCTTCTCTTCGTGGACCCAGCAACCACCATCACATTCACACACCTCTGCCTCCTCTCCCCCCTCGTTATCGTCATTGGTTTGATCCCTAACCGCAACCTCCTCTTCACAGCTCTGTTTCCCCTCCCACGCGGACTTCACATGCCAAATCTTCGAAACCCAGTTTTCGCTCCGGCGTTCCGTTCCGTCAGCCACGCCGTCATCTCTAACGGCCTCCTTTCCCTCGCCGTTCTCCGCCAAAACGGCGTCGTCGAGGGCCAGCCCTTTGTATCTGGTGTTCCACCGCGGCCAGAGAGATTCCAAAGGGTTCCGAAAGGAAACTCTCGAAAACAACGACCTCGGCGGGGATTTATCCGCTGCGGAGCGCCCCACCACACTCACCTGAGAAGAACTGCCACGTGCCTCCACCGTCCCACCGATAGAGATCGGGGGAACTAACCCCGCTTTCACACACATAGTTTCCATTCTTCTTCTTAGTTTTCTGCAACACAACAATGTCCAATGAATTCTTTGTTTTTTTTCTTTTTTTCTTTTTGCTTCAACTTTCGGCGTTGCGCAGTTCGCTTCTTCACTTCTTCAAAACGAAAGAGAGAGAAACGGCAAGAGGAGGGAGCATTTAAAGAGTGCGGAAATTAAAAAAATTAAAAACAGGTGACCGAAATACGTGATCAGGTTAAATCAGGAAACGACGGCGTTTCTTGGCGTTAAATGAAAAATAGACAAAATAGTATTCGGGAACGACGGCGTCGTTCCGAAGAAGAGGGGGTTGATTTACCGTGTTTGTTTTGAGAATTGCAAAACGCGATTTCGTGGAAAAAGCGCCTGAATCTCTGACAGGCTCCAAACTTTTAGATGAACTGAAGTGACACGTCATAAGATGTAAATGACGCACACGCGTACATGATACATCCCCATCCAGTGACGTGTCGGTAAAAGCTTCAAAGTTTTGCTTCCTATCCTTTCTTTGTCTAACTTGTGTTCTCGAGGATCGCCCTATGCGTCACGGTTATGATCCACCACACCGATCAACCTAACAGGTAAACACTTTTATAGCTATATTTTTAGTCTTTTTATTTTTATTAATATTCAATTTTAATCATTTATTTTAAGATAAAGATATTTATCTTTTATTTTTAAAATATAAAATTTTGATCACTTATCAATTTAATTTGATTAATTTTTAATTTTTAATATTATTCAATAATTTATCATAAATTAAATTACATGATATTTAATTATGTGACATATAAAGATAAGTTTTTTAAAGAAAAATTTGTTTGCATATATTTTAATAACGAATCAATATTTTCTTTATCAATAAATATTACTTATATATTTTTTATTTTTAAATATTATATTATTAAGTATGAGTAGGCAAATATTAAAATTTAATAATTAATAAATATTAATTTGATTAGAGAATATATTTTAAAATTCCAGATATTAAAATTATAAATTGATAAAACTAGAAGAATAATTTAATCTTTCTTTTAAAAGACTAAATTATGCATTATATATTTATAAAATAAATAATGTATTATATGTTGAGAACAAATGTTTTTATTGTGGAACAAGTTCCACTATAAAAGAAACATGCTAGTATTGAAATTATGCATTATGAAGTTTACACATCTAAAGAGTGAAATATGTTTGTTTTAAGTTTTAACTCAAAAATTGAATTATATATTTGTGTCTCGTATGTCGATATAATATATCCTCTAGATATAATCTTATAAATATGGTTACGATTATCTATATTTACTACAAATATTATTTGTATATCAATATTATATATCTTGTATAAATAATTTTAAAAAAAATTACCGGCACAATTACCTTTGTTCTCGCTACAAATACTCTTAGTATACCAATATTATATCTAGAAATAATCTCAAAATCATTGATACAGTTTCTTTTTTGGTACATATCGATACAGTTACCTTTATTCTTACTACAAATACTATTGGTGTATTTTTCTAAAAAATAGTTTTGGTATATCAATATAATTTATCCTCTATAAATAATCTTATAATCTAAATATATCGGTAAGGTTATTTTGTTCTTACTACAAATACTATTGTATATCAATATTATATATCCTCTAAAAATAATCTAAAATATCAGTATGATTATCTTTGTTCTTACTACAAATACTATTCGTGTATATCAATATTATATATCTTTTAAAAATAATCTAAATAATATCAATCTAGTTTATCTTTATTTTGCAATATTATCTTTGTTCTGATGGCAAATAGCAAAATTAGCCTCTATATATTAAATATAAATTTATAAAGTGTTTTTAGATTTTTTTAATTAAAATATTTTTAACTATTATTTTAAATTATTACTTATTTTATTTATTATATTTATTTATGCCTTAATTTTTAATGTTTTAAAATAAATTTGAAGATTTTTTATTTATTTTTTTAAAGTTTTGTAATGACTCACTAAATCACCACACTTTACAATTTAGTTACTTGCAATGAAAAATATAAACTAACTAAGATTATCATGCAAACAATTTTTGGATATACATATATATATATATATATATATATATATATATATTATTGTGTATATATGTATATGTATATAAATATATA